TTTTGTAACTTTTTGTTTTTAGCTAGCATTTTATCTTTAAGCTAAGCTTTTGCTCCTTTTAGCCAGTCTTTTGCTCTTTTTTGCTAGATTTTTGTTAATTATTGTTTACTTTAGCCTTTTGCTATTTAGCTTCAGCAGCACAGTTTCAGCTTCTTCACTCAGCGCTCAATTTTCATGGAAAATGGAATTTCTGTGTTTTTTCTTGTGTAAAATCTTTCTGGCTTAATTTTTTGGGGGACAGAACCGAGCAACAGTGAGCCGATAAGACCAACAGGAAGTAAACCTCAGAACCAAACTGGGTTTTTGCACCAACAACAAATGACGGACCTTAAATCTCCTTCATCTCCCCTCGAGCAGCAGCTGCTTCCTACCTGAGCGTGCTCGTGACGGTCCAGCTGTTTCTGCCCGTGGGGACTTGGACCTGGTTGGTGTCCGCATACAGAAGGGGAACCCCGTCTCTCAGCCAGACCACGTCGGGGGGGTCCACCTCCTCGGCCCCGGTACCCTTCAGATCGCAGCGCATCGAGACGGGTTTGCCCAGCGACGAGACCACGGTGCTCGGGCTCCGTTCAAACTTTAAATCTTTAAAACAGGAAGAGGTTTAAAGTTTATCACAAGGTTTTTATTTTTTTAAACTGCTCCTTAATTTTCTCTAAAATAATCTAATGAAATTCAGATTGTAAAACTATAAAAAGTTATTTATCTTCAAAATATCTTGTTTTTCTGTGGTTTAACTCGTATAGATACTTTCTAAAAGGATGATAAAGACGATTATTGTTGTTATTTATGGAATGTTGTACATCAATAATTGGATTCTTCTTGGTGTTGCTCCTTCAGGAGTCTCCTGGTGGATCATCTGCTTGTCCTCCTGCAGCTCCTCTGTCCAACACGTCCAAACCATCTCGTCCTTGTCTCCAAACCTGAATCGTTCCTTTGATAAACTCATTTGTGACCCGGCCCATTTGTAGCAATCCCAGGAAAGACCTACTTCTGACTTTCACCTCTCCAGGCTCTCTTCCACCTGCTCCCTATCCTCACTAATAATCTGATTCCTAACTTTGATCAAGTACGTTTGTCTGACTCTTAGCAAAATATCCCACTGGCTGAATTTTAAAGAAACTCTAAGTAATTAACCATTTTATGGACAACTATTGATGAACTATTACAATCAAATTCAAGATGGCTGCCGCAGCTCATTAACCTTAGCAAACATGGAAGTGTCTGTAAATCAGTAATTGTGAAAGCTAAAATTTGGTGTGGTGGTAGCTGAGAATCATCCCAGCACACGTTCACAGTGCTAACAGCTCACGTAGGATTTTTATTCTTGATGATATTGAAACTTTGGCACTCAAGATGGCGGGAGGCGTGCATTCCTTCCAGAACGCCAGTTTCCTTTTATTATTCACGAAGCTGACACGAAGTCATAAAAATGTTTCTAAACGTGAAAACGCAAACTGATTTTACATTTTACGCTATTCTTAATGTTTCGTGGATAACGTCATGTGACCTGTTGGCCCTCAGAGGACTTGTTGGGGATGACTCTCAGCTACTCCACACCAGGTTTAGCTCAATAGTTGTCAAAATGGCTGACCTATGACTAGGCCTGTCATGATAATCAATGTTGCTGGGCGATTAATTGTCTCAGAAATTATTGCAATAAACGATAATATTGTTTGAAATTTGACAATAATTAGTAATTATTGTCATATTTAGGAAGAAATGTTTGTTAATTTATTTTGTGTGTAGTACATTTTTTGACCACCGGATGCAGTATAAGACAGTTTGAACCGAAGGATGGATAGTGAGGGAGTGAGCAGCGTGTCTCTTTAAGAAAAATGTGAGGGAGGCCCCTTGACGTGACATGGGCTGTCTCTCTTCAGTTCTCAAATGGCGGCTGCTCGGTGTGGTTTGAGCTCTTTAGCATTTTTCACACAAAGCTTTTAATAAAAAATCAGTAAACAAGTTCTCGGCTTCTTTTTGCAGAGAAAAACAACTTTTTACACAAAAGCACGGGTTTCAACTCTGAATTTCGGAGCTTCGATAAGACGGAGGTATTTTCCCCGAGGTCATCCTGTTAGCTTAGCTCGTAGCTTAGCTTCTCAGCTTAGCTGCTTTTAATGATACAAAAACGTGATTTTGGACGATTAAAACAGATTTTAAAGAGAAAGGGAGGGGTCAGTGAAGAACACCGGAGTTAAGCCTTTTGTCCTCCAGTGTCTTCAGTAGAAAGAGACACGAAGACATGATAAAGTCGATAAATGAAAATGAGGTCGATAATTTTCATTTATCATGCGATTAATTGATTTATTGTTTATCGCGACAGGTGTGACCATGGTGGTGTTTGGTAAGATTGCTTTGCTGTGGTGGCCATTTTGAATAGGGTCGGCTCCAAAACTCAGCCAGTAGTAGACGTTCTGCCAGTTTCATCAAGGTGCGTTCAGAGGTTCCTGAGATATTTTGCTAACAGTACAGACGGCTGGAGACAACATTATAGCTCCTCCTTCCTGGGTGTGTCTAACAGGCCTGATTTGTGCTTCGAGCTGATAGCAGCTAAAGTCAGAGTTTATCTGTCGCCTCACATGATGGTCTCTCCTGCTCCCTGATCGTGGTTCTGACCCGAGGGGGACAGCTCTGATACCGGGCCGGGACTAAAGCCTCCTGTTGGTGGGGTGAGTGGGGGGGGGGGGGGGGGAGGGGGGGGGGGGGCTGCTCAGCGTAATATAAACACCACCAGTTTCCTGGGAAAGGCTGCAGGTCGTCTGCTAAACATCCAGAACTGTGAGGTCATGGACGTGACAGTTACAGAACCCAGCAGAACCGACAGAACCAGCAGAACCGAGAGGAGCTGGTGATGTCTGAGGAAAGGAACGCAGAGTTTACAGATGGCCTTAAACCCGAAGACGACACGAACGTTCGGCTTCAAAAGCACGTCGGGACAAAAATAACTCGAGACTTTCCTTTTTTCTGTCGTTCAAGATTTTCCCAAGCTTGTCATCCCGCCCTCTCAGTGTGCTTCAGGGTCAACCTTTGACCTCTGACCCCTGCTCCCGTCAGCACTAGTAAAGGCAGAGAACGAACCGTTTTCCCAGTTTTTGTCATTAAATCACCTCTGTCTTTGCTGTGACGCCTGGAGGAGCGTTTTAAAGGATCTGCCCCACGTTCCGTCTCTGGGTCATTTTGTAGCTTTGACGTAATGAAGAGTTTGTGAACGTCCTCAGAGGACGGACCGAGCATGTCCCTGAGGGACGGACAGAGCGTGTCCCTGTGTGGCCCGTCTCCAGGGATCCATTTGTCCTGTCTTCACCTCCCCCGTCCCCCTGACGTCCAACACTTTTATCACCGTCCGTCTCTTCCTCCCACCCTGATGTTAAAAGTCTCGTACCAAAGATGCTTCACAGAGACCCCCCCTCCTCGGTTCCTTCGGACCCGCCCCTCCACTTGGCATCGCGCCTTTGCCCTTTTCTCCTTTTCATACCATTCTTCAGATTCATCGCTACACATTTCACCCTCGTCCCATCCATCAACGCTTCACCGTGACTCAGAGCAGCTTTGACTCACATCCAGAACACACACACAAACAGCCTAACGTGTAAATAAAACCCCAGTTCTGTAAAAGTTGGAACGTTGTTTAAAATGTTGATAAAAACACAAAACAAAGAGGCCAGATGTTGGAGGTTCTGGAGGACCTGAGGAGACCAGTTGTAGGTCTCATTCTGGTCTGATGGAGGATTCTAGCTGTCCTTCAGTCCTGGATCTTCTCTGCTGGATGGGAACAGATGTTCTACTAAAACCTGTAGATACTTTCCTGCATTGATGGACTCTTTCCAGATGTGTAAGCTGCCCATGTCAGAGGAACTAATGCACCCCCATACCACCAGAGAGGCAGGATTTAGAACTGTGATCTGAAACCAGACTGGATGGTCCCTCTCCTCTTTGGAGGACGTGGTGTCTGTGGTTTCCAAACAGAACTTCAGATTTGGACCTGTCTGACCCCAGAACAGTTCTGAACGTCACCTCAGTCCATTTGAAACGAGCTCTGGCCCAGAGAGGACGGCAGCGGTTCTGGATGGTGTTCACTTCTTCTTTGGCTGATTGAGCGGAAAGGTGAAGGTTGTGAACATTGTGTGTGTTCAGAACATCAAGGCTCTTTTGTTTGAGTTGTTTTGGTGTTTCCAGGACGTCGTGGAATTTCACTGATATGTTGCAAAGAAAAGACAGAGACTCGAGGTCCAAGGCTGCTGGGACGGATCCAAACAGGAATGTGGGAGTCAGACTCCTGTTTCTATCTGAGAGCTGTTGGTTTGAACAATCAGGACAGTTTGAAACTGAAACCAACCTGAGGTCTCCATCTGTCCAGCCCTGACCCGGGAGCTGCAGCGAGCAGCACCTCAGGTCCCAGTCCTGGACAGGGATGTTCATGAGGAGGACTGTGAGGACAGGGATGTTCATGAGGAGGACTGTGAGGACAGGGATGTCCATGAGGAGGACTGTGA